GTATTAATCTTACATATAGTTAGTTGTAGTTTGTCTATTCTATTCAACTTTGATGTGAAAAAGCATAATAATTAGCCAAAACCCTTGTATTATTGATTTAAAACAATGAAGATACCACAACACTCAGACCAGAGTGTTGTAGTACCTTCAGATTAGATTTCAAAAGTTAATTTCCTGGGAATATATTAATAGATTTTATGAGGAATAATATACAGAACAAGAAAATGCTAAGATGATCAAATATAAATAAACTCGAATCGATGTAGAAATACACACACAGTGAGGGCATCAAATTGATTGCATGATAACATGTATTTTAATGAAATGAAATGAAAATATATATATTCAAGTAGACTTATTACAAGCACTTTTAAATCGTCCTAAAAAAAATTTCCCCTACCACTTGTTAAAGACGTCTTTTAGCTGACAAGAAGAACAAGCGAAAGAAACTTACCAGCTCTTTATCATAAGTAATAAAATTTACATAAATCATGTCAAAAAATGTTGACTTAGAATAACTTTTGGAAATACTTTGCAGGTAGCCCTAGTAGGCCTCATGTACTCGGTAAAGAACTTTGCGTTCATGGTAGCGCCCAGTTTCAGTGCTGGTCTACTCTCAAATGAGGTCAGAAAACTGGTATCTGCACTACGCGATAGGCTACTGGAAACCATTGGTACTTAACTACGTTTACGTTTTGTTCGATCTAATACCAATTTAGAAATCAATACTCAATACCATGAAGAGTAGAGGGCGCTGTGTTTTATGATTATTCTACAACAGTGCAGGTAAATGACACCATGTTTAGTGCATTCTGTCTGCGGTGCGGATATTAAGTGACTTGTTCAAGCGCTCGTCATTTGGATGGGTTACCAAAAATATATTGTCTTAAGCTCGTCCGTGCTTCAGAAGCTAAGTTAAACTTAAGTGTTTTATGGCCTGCTCTCCCAACTTACGTTTTCATTCATAGGAAAGGCTTATGCCCCAAAAGCGGGGAAATTGATATGCTGATGAATCATCGGCATATTAAAATTACTTCATCAGTGATTATGAAGTTATTTGTAAAAGGCATTTGAACCTACAATGTGTCAAATTTTTCATTCTCCGCAATTTGCAATCAACTTAGTGAATTATTATTATTATGATGTTTTATCATATTTCTTGTATAAAGACCTTTAACAAATTAACTTTGGTGCCATTATTTCATTAGTCTTAATCTAAACCCAAATAGAGTTAAATGTTAAGTTGATATGAAGTGTTATATACCTTATGCACACTGCTCAACTGCTAAGAGACAAAAATGTGTTTAAAACTTTAAATCATCACATACATTGTAATGATCTTCTGAATCTTCTCCGAACTTCGAATCCCAAAAATAATACAAAAGAGAAAATTAGGAAAATTTACAAAAAAGTGTATTATTATTATACTGATAACAATGGATGTTACATGAAGATATGTATTTTGTTCTAGATAAAAAGCAAAGAGCAGATATCAAGAGATTTATCAATTACCTGGAGGTTCGGCCGCTCAAGTTCAAAATATGGAGGGTGGTGCCTTTGGATTGGACCCTACCCATCACCGTTGTTAACATATCTATAACATACCTCATCGTCATGATACAGTTTACGCACAAGTATTGAGAATTGCTTAAGATTGTGACATACTGCACGCACACATTTAGGGATTGGAAGTTGCAAGTCGAATATTGCATATTAAAATGAATTGACGACATAATAACTGTAGCTTAAAAAGCGACTCTTTATGTTATGATCATTAGCTGTGTAATGTAGCGTTGAAATAAATAACATCCTTAACTACGATATTTCTTTTACACCTTGTGTATATAGCAGCCTTAAGCGTCATCAGCAATTTACTCGAGTGACTCGTCCATTCTTCTAGTTTACCTGTAACGATAATATTATATTAATTTACGTATTGACATTTGACTGCGTCTAATTTTAGTGTGTTTAATAAAGACCGCGACAAAGCAAATCTTCCTTATCATTTTTCTCTACAGTCTTCCGCACTCTCAGCAACTTTAAAGTGTCGATTACCCCTACATTTTACAAGCAGCTTATGCTAGATTAATATTATTAAGAGTAAAGATTCGACCATTTGTTAGTTTGCATTGAATAGACTCCTAAACTACTGTATCGATTTAAATAAAAACGCTTACGGAAAACTACATCATACGCGAGTGACTTACTTTCATTCATATATTATATAAAAACTTTGAACATTAATTCGACTTCCAACTTATAAAAGTGATAAATTATATTTGTCCCAAACGTGACTTATTCGAGAAAATGCTATTGAAGTAGGCCGGAGGTTTTCTGTAGGTTATTAATTAAATGATAGGCATCTGACTTAAATAGCATAATCTTGATTAAATCGCTTTTGAGATAAATATTTTTATCACTTTTTTATAGTTTGATAATTTTTATAGTTTTATAGTTTGATAATTGTTCTATTTTAAAAACAAAAATATTTTTTGTTTGATGATTTTTAATGATATTAATATATGTTTTTATATAATAGTCACATGGAAATTTTTAAACATCTAGTGTAAATAAAAGTATTCAACATAGTGAAAGTCTTAGAAAAGGAGATTTTATTTATTTGCTCGGCATAATTTTCCGATAATCTATACTCATGTCATAAAGAGAAAAGATTTGATTGCTTGTTTGTTTTCACTGGACAAGCTCTGAAACTATTGTACCGATTTATAACAGTATTTCATCTTCGGGAAGAATCATAATACGCGGGGTACATAGGCTATAATTTACGCAGGCGAAGTCAAGGGCAAACAGCTAATTCGATAGAAATTGGTTTACTATTCAAAAAGAAATCGATAACACCTTCATAAAGATATATATCGATTTCTATAATCGTCGAATATAGTAAATAATCCATTCGGATTTTTAATGAGTTAATAAAAATACGTAATCTTTTGTTTTTTAGCTGAAATAAACATATTATCTAAATATTTAGATGATATCTGACGCAAAGTGTATTTTCTTTTGTTATAAAAGCAAAACTACTGATTCGATTCTAAAGTCGGCTAAAACGCCAAAACTTTCTAAAACGTTTTAAATATCATAAATATTGACTTGCAAAATTTTTTGAATTCACTACAAGATTTGTTTAATATTTGCCACTGCTTGTGACATAATGCTGTATAATACAATCTATACTATAATTAAAACGTAACCGATCGATGTCTGTACATTGAAGATATATGAAAAAAACTGTTATGAGGGACATTTATAAGCGTAATAGAACACAAAACAATGATTTTTTTTTGTCTGTTTGTCTGTGCGTTTGTGCACGATAATCTCAGAAACGGCTGAACCGATTTAAATGCAGTTTTCATTATTATATTGCGGCATTCTTCCGTTAACATTTAGTGTAAGTTTTATTTCAATCGGTTCACAAATGAAAAAGTTATGTCATTAACTCTTTCACAGCCAAACTGCAGGGCTTCAGGCCTTTGTTTAATAATTTTTGGTCACCCATCCCGTGAACAACTCTTGAGAAAATTGCTTAGCAATAGCGATCGTGCGCAGCGGCGCTTATCCGTACCAATTAATAGTGTCTATAAAATGATAATTTGTATGATGACAAATACCAAAAAAAAAAGTTTTTTTTCTCTTATTATCATTTTTTATGGTCAACACTAATATAGAATGGAATAGAATATTACGCGAGTCTGAGTAGTAGTCGTCGTCGTAGTAGTCGGTTTAGAGTATCTCGGTGGCGTAGTGAATAAGCGCCAAGGCCCGTGATTGTAGTTGTTAAGAAACTTTCGTAAAGGTCAGTCACAGGATGGATGACCAAAAATATACTATCTCAAGCAAATCCAAGCTTCGGAAGGCACGTTAAGCGATTGGTCCCGGTTGTATTTGCAGTTGTTAATATCCTCCAATCCGCATTGGGCCAGCATGGAGGTTCATAGCCCATCCTCCTTAACCACCCATAAGGCTCCTGCAGTTGGTGACGTAAAAGGGCTGATGATGATGATGATGATGATGATGATGATGATAACGAGGGCCGTTCAAATCTGACGGAAACTCAGTTAAGCACCTCTCGGAAGTATGTGTTTGTAGACGATTTCCTTTGAGAGTAGAAAGTCGAAATTAAAATACGTATATATTTTTTTATATCAATAAATACAACTCCACGTATCTTCCGTCAGACATGTGAAAAACGCGAAGCGTATTTAACTGCCCATCGCGTAGCTCATGCCCTATAAAGTTAAATCTGAAGCATTCACCGTCAGCGACAATCTCTTGAGCTCTCGAAGAACTCATACAACAAACATTTGATCTCAGGAAACTTCTGAAGATTGCCTAGCGCGTCTAACTGCTGTCCGTAACATACATGCAGTATGGTATGAGTATGAAACTTCCTTTGTTAGAGAAATGCGCATGGTCTCTGAAAGAGCTCGCAGTTTGCACAATAGAGATCGAGAAAGTAGTTTCGATTATCGCCAACCCGTGTTGCCTTCATACTCCACAGGCGTACCGCAGATAAGTTTTCACAGGGTATAATGAACTAGCTGTTTTCCTTTGCCGCAAAATTATAGCCTATGACATCCGCGTCTGATGTAGCTTCCCGTAGGTCGGAATCGCTCTGAAACTATCGGTCCAGTAGTTTTGGACCAAATTTGGACAAACGACAAACTCATCGCTAGCCAACGATTTCTTCCAGACAACCTAGCATTACATGGAAAATAGAACGATAAATAGCCGATTGTGCATACAATTAGTCAAATAATAATAATTTAAAAATATTAAATACAAAAGAAGGACAGTTTAAAGGTACGAATAAAACGCGAGAAAAAAAAATAGAAAAATAACATTCGTAAGGACAGTTCACAGGATGGGTGACCAAAACATTATTATCTTGAGCACTGTGCACAACACTGGCACAATGCAAGTTAAACCGTTAGTTCTGGCTGCATCAGCAAAGTTAACACCCACCGATCCGTATTAAGCCCGCATAGTGGGTTATGGCCCGTTGATCTTATTCGATTCGACTCCATTCATAGGAAAAAAAGAATTCTACCAAAATACTTCTCACGAAGACGAAGTCGCGGGCACAGCTAGTAAAGTATATATTTGTTACATTAAAAGACTCTTGAATTCGTAATAATTTGAATGTCCATAACGTGCCTTACATATCGATCGATATAAAAGTATTTCTAAATATTACAGCAATAATGAGTTTTAATGTGTTGTTATCAAATAGAGTAGTAGTACATTTATCTGGAAATCGCCTATCTCATCGAAGTAATACAAAGGACACGAGCTTCACATTTTTCACACTGTCATAGGTGACAGACGTTCGATTTTCTCTCTTTTACTTTAATTAAGCAAAATGGTTGTTCATAAGACAGCAGTGGTACCAAATGTATCATTTCTTGTTAAATCCAAATCTTCGAAATCAGACAGTATACCTAAATCATTAAGATACATATTCGTTTTCTTTCAAATAATTGCTGCATTAGATTTTGGATTCGTTCGCGTGACTTCAGGAAGACAGAAGTATCTTTTAAAGTTTTTGGCTTTCATGCAATCCTCAGTTATTGTTACGTGGATATGTTGTTTGGTTGTTTCTAATCCCAATTTTGAAGCCGTATGGCTTATTTCGGCGAGCCTCAAGTATTTTATATTCGTTGTAGTTCTGTTGTCTACTAAATACTCTTATTGTGACTTTCAAAATGATCTCTGTTTCTTCGACAAAGAAATAAATACAGACAGTGTATCCTACAGGTTAGACATAAAGATGATTATGAGTCTAATTGTTGTAGTTATATGTTTGGTACTTAAATATGTATTCTTAAGTAAAGCGTTAGAAGCTGGTGGTGGTGGTTATCTTCTTCATTTTTTTTTATTTGATATTTTATATTCGATAGTCACCGTTAGCCTCGACTTTGTGAGAGTTACATATTTTTTATTGTTCACTTGTTCTCGTTGGCGTATTGAGAAATTTATTAAATTCGTAAACCAAGACAATGCTAACATAGTTAGTTGTCAATACCTGTATAAAAATATTGCCGATGTCACTGAGAAGGCCAAGGGGAACTTCAACTTAGTGGTAAGTACAGTAAAGGTCAATATTTGTACATTAATACAACTACTTTGAAAGAAAAAATAATTGTGAATACATAGACAAATCTAAGACTGGATTTATATTATTTGTATTGCATAAGTATATGGTTTTTGATAAATTAATAATCATTAATAGGAATGAGTGTGATCATTTGTAAATTACATATTTTAAACGTTCGATTAAGGAACATTCGATGAAAGTTACTTTCTGATTATTAATGGGTTTGGCATTGGAAATCAATACGATAACCCATATTTTACCAAAGCTTAGGAATAATAATGTGTAATATTAATTAACTTTTAATATTTTTTAACAGTTTATAATTACGTTGATGTACAATACGATTTCAACAACAGTTCATATATTTCTGCCCTTCGCTGGCGGATTAGTGAAAACTGTAAGTAATTAATTTAGTTTAGTTAATTGTTTCATAAATTCAATAACATGGACGTAATTTGACTTTATAATTAAAAATCATTCGAGTGTACTTTAGCTTATGATACAAACTAGCAATATGTTTTTGGGTAAATATATAAAATAGTAATTTAACTCTATTTAAATTAACTAATTGTCTTCCCTTTAAAAATTACGTTAATCTTTCTTGATTTTTGGCGGGAAGAAACAACTTTCATTATTAAAGTCATTTAGCTTAAATCTATGTAAATGAATTTAGAGGATTGTTTATATAAAACTTATGATTCTGAGTCAAACTCATCAAAAATGTACTAATGTAAAATGTGATAAAAGTAATGAAAATTATAAATCCATTAATATTGAATATACCATAAAAACATACCAATGGCCAAACTTTTCTATTGTATATGGCCAAATTTTTCTATTGATAATGGCCAAACTTTCCTATTATAATACAATTTATTTTTCTAGGAATCCGGATGGAAGTTAGCTGGTGACGTGTTAACTGTCGTGAAAAATTTCTTTATCGTATTAGCACCAACGTTCACAGCTGGACTACTCTCATCTGAGGTTGAAAATCTAGTGTTAGCACTTCGCGATAAAGTGCTTATTGCAAAAGGTAAAGATATATACTATGTATTCAAACAATAATATTTTGTAGTAGCTATTCGAGTCCTCGTGTTGTTGGGCTAACGAAGGATTTATGTGAATGGTTAATTTAATGACTTTCTTCTTAATAAATACTGTATATGAAAGTTTCATATGCAAAAGTCGAAGACATTAAAATTATTAAAAGTTTTCGCTAGTCATAACGAATCCACGAGCGTGTATGAAGATTTAACAATTGTTAGGTAACATTTATATTAATTTCGTACCTTGTAGCATTCAGTTGTTTACTAGCGTTCCGTTCGAGGGGAAGATATATATATATATATGTATATTAGCTTTCCGCCAGCGGTGTCGCCCTCGCGGCTCCTAGAGAATCCAGGCTTAGATGACACGGATAAAATTACAATGACAAATTGGATAGGAAACTATAGTTACTATGGTAATATTTTAATTCCCTATACAAACTCCTATTACAGACTCCTATTTTCATCCCTTTAATTGCTGTTTTTCGGGATAAAATATAGCCAATGTTAACCTAATATGATGTATAAGGAAGAGGAATATAAGAATATTTGAATGTTTCTTCTATATAAAATGAGTATAGATATGTCTCAATTTCAGACGAGAAGCAAAGAGAGGACATAAGAAGGTTCATCGGCTACATAGAGGCGCGCCCGCTCAAGTTCACCGTGTGCGGTGTGGTGCCCCTCGACTGGAACCTGCCCGTTATCATCGTCAACATGTCATTCACTTACCTTATCGTGATGATACAGTTCACGCACAAATACTAATATTCACCTTATACTCATGTTACAAACCACCCGCAAAGATTATACTAGAACTGTTTATACACTTGTATTATACAGCGCACGTATAAATCCTTTGCAGTATCTGAAGCAATTAATTTCATACTGTTATTGATTTTATCACAAGCACTTTTGAATCGTGCAATTTTTTTTTCCATACACTCGTTCAGGTCTTTTCGATGACAAGAAGAACAAGCGAAAGGAACTTACCAATACTTTATCACAAATAACGACATTAACGGTAATAATGTCATTACCAAAATACGTATTACAATAATAATAAAAACGATTTTCGATGTCTGTAGATAATAGCATAAATAGGTTGTTATAATGGGTTAAAATTGAGAACACCCCTGTGTTTATTTTTGTAAGAGAATCATAATGTTTCCTTACGTACACATTATTTTCATAGATGTATTTAGAGGCAACAGTAAAATGTTGATTTCATTCTCTAAGACATTATCTAGACGGTAAATTATATATGAATAAATGATAATTTTATCTGCATTAATCACAACAATCATGCTCTCAGTACGCATTAAAATAATAAAATCACAAAAACACAAATAATAGGCAAAATTAAACGATAAATAAATACACAGGGGGCCACGTATATGCCGGAATTGACCTTCAAATTATTATGTATTATCAAACCAATGTAGAACATTGGCGGGAGCACTGTTCAGGTCGTCAAAACAATCATCGCACCTCTTAGCTTTGAAAAAATATCTACTATGCGACATGATCTTCTGATCAACGTAATAGCATTCCTAATATCGCGCACTAGCTATTATAGAACTAGATTAAACAAATGCTAAGTAAAATATAAATAAAAGTTTAAGTAACTGTCTTTTTAATTAATTCCCGACGTATGGTCACATACATCACAACTAATTACCAACACGAAAAATTCACGTGTAAAACAAAAGACCTCAATCTCCCATTTATTACCATTTCATACAATGCTAATAAAGTTCCGATTCAAGATTTATATTAAAATTCAAAGGAAAAGAGCTTTGGATGAAGATTTTCATAGGATACATTAAAATCTGTTTCCACCGCTTCGCCTTTTCGAATGAGGTCCAAGTCACAAACGATTATAATAATTAGTTAATCACTTATGGTGTAAAAAAATTTAATTCTCCTACGATTAACTGAAGTCTGACTGTTATAATAAATTACTTATTCTTACGATAATATATATTATAGACATGTTAAATTATTAAATATTAAACAACATCACGTACATTGCTCAGATTCTAAGATGAGTAGCTAAAGCTCCTGTATTATGGAGTAGCTGAGACAACGAAGGTTGGTTAGAAAAAAAACATTTTCTACATTTACCGGAGATGTAACCCAGGACCTCAGAGATGGCGACACTTAGAAACCGGCGTGCGAACCACTTGGCTATGGAGGTCGTTTAATCTACCTTTCCATGTGGTCAACTCAAAAAGTTTTTATTATTTCGCTAAACAAACAACATGAGAGTATCAATTGCCGTAATTAAATAATAAAAAACAAACTATTTAATAATAAAATGGGTAATATTACATATTTTTATATTCACCGACGTCTCAGCCGTGGTCGGAAATATAAAAAATATAAAATACACACGTCATACCATTTCAAAAGATGTTTTTTTAAAGTATGAGTGTGATATCCGCATCTTTATAACCTAATCTTTTATTACTTGGACCACACATTAGGTCCGTTGGAACGTCAATAACAAGTCCATAAACCGTTTTTACTGCCTTTGTTCGACTAAATCTATGTAGGTTTGGACTTTTTTAAACAATGACCGTATTTTCTTTACGCACGCTGATAATTCTAGAGATATTTTGAATGAACTCGACAATTTCACTGTAAATCTTTGGTGTTTTCTTCAAAATTGTTTTTTGAATTTAAGATTTTCTCGTGATATGTGAACGAGAAAATACCATTTTATCATAGTTATTCTAGTTTGAGGGTACACAGAAGAGTATAAGGATTTAAAATATTTGAAAACTCAATGTGCAATGGTTAGCGCATTTGGTCTGTGATGCGAAAGTCAAGCAACCATTGCAACTTTTGCATAGGATGGATGACCAAGAAAAAAAAAATTATATTTGATCAATTCTTAATAAAAAATGCTTAAAAAAATCCGCCTTGTCCCTGACACTGATATGGGAACGAACCCATGGCCTTCCGCAATCCGGACTGATGAATTAATTCAAGCACTTGTTACTTTTTCGCTAATGCAGAGCAAATTTTCAGGTAATTCACCCAAACAACAGCTTTTTTAAGCATCAAGAATACTTTTCAGTAAAATTCATCAAATATGCTGGTTAGAATAAATTGTCATCTTTATCGAAAGTATAAATATTTGTAAAAAATATTTCTTTCGGCTGTGTATGCTAGATGCCTGAACATTGATGAAAATACGCTCTGTAGTAGAGAAAAAGTAATAAGTGCTTGAATAATTTGTCAGTCAGTATACATATGAAAGTCTCAAAAAAACACAAATTTCAACTGGACCGTGGTAATGTGAATGATGACTGGGTGAAAAAAAAGGAATTCTATTTAGTTCGTCAGTCGGCTAATAGAAAAATATTAAATACGTATTTATTTAACTTCAATTTAACAAGAAATAGCTTAGATAACTGGTATTAAAGTTGAGGAGTAGGGGCTCGCTACGTCACAGTTTTGTAGAAAATGTACCAAAGCGTGTCGTCATGTGATATTTTAACTGATTACGAAAAAATAAAAAAATACATGTTTAATATTTTTCAACAATCCACCTAACGGACAAAGAAACAATAATTAGTCGCCATCCCAATTATTTATTTTCACACGAAAATAATGAAATGACATATGAAGTGTAACAGTATGTATTACCTACATACGTTAGTTTCATCTTAACAATAGGTCAGTTGAATCATCGGGACAGTCACCCCAATTGTCCCAGATCCTGGATCATTGTACCTTCTCATGTTCCTCAGACTAACTGGTAATCATCAAATTAACACCCACACGAGTTTACATACAATTTGAGGAATAGAATATGACAGACCTTAGAATGTCTTGAAAATGACTCGAGAAATAATATTACGATATTTGAAATGGAAAATGTTCCTTCCTATTGCACATCCACGTCTATTAAATTTATTACGGGAAAAATTAATTCACTTCTGTACAGAACTATGTGAAAAATTAAGAGGAAAATGACACTTAGTATGTAATCAGCTCTTTTTTAGATTTGACTACTAAAAATAGTAATATATTGGAATTGTCCTTAGAATTTAATAACATACGTAAGTATATAAGGGTATCATAGTGAACACTCAATCGTATATTGCAAACCATAGTATTACATAGACTTACCAATATGTTATCAGAATCAAAATATGGACTCTGTCGTGCAATCACTCAGCGTTATTTTATTACTTTAAATTCCCTAATAAATTTAATAAAAATCCATAACAGTACCCAAAAATAATTAAGAACAATATTAATACCGTGCCATTTCTAAGTATTCTTATGTCCCAGTCATTTGATTCTGAACAGCACAGATACTTCAACTGTCATTTTCACACTGTTCACATTTGAATCAACACGCAACATGTTGCCATTGACAATAATTCTGTTAATTGTCTTATCGAAGACGGAAGCGGCAACTAACACTAACACATCATGTGGGGATTTTCAAGCTAAATTCGATATGAAAAGTGTAATCGGGCCGTGGTATGTGGTAGCCATAATACCAGGTACTATGTTCCCTGATAAGGACGTGTTATGCTACAAAGTGGAATTCAGTGAAACTGATGAAGTAAGTTTATAGTAATTATAATTATTTGATAAATTGACTTGCTTCGGAAGGCACGTTAAGCCGTTGGTCCCGGCTGCATTGGCAGTCGTTAATATCCTCCAATTCGCATTGGGCCAGCGTGGAGGTTCATGGCCCATCCTCCTTAACCATCCATAAGGAAGGCCTGAGCTCCTGCAGTGGGGACGTAAAAGGGCTGGTGATGATGTGATGAATAAATTGACATCACAATGATATATCAATTATATATTTTTTTTAATAACTTGAGAATATCATCAGTCCAGGTTAGGTCCGACAAGTCTCGAGGTTACAGCAGTTTAAAGGTTATGGATACAAGTTGATATTGATTGAGGAACACATAGTTAATATCTACATTTGGACTTCAAATTGCAGAATTTATGGTACTCCAACTAGAAACAAATATTACAAGTTTCCGCACAAATATTTGATTATTAAAAAAAAATCTTCAATGAGCTTATTTGATTAAATATTTTGCTTTTAATTTTTTTTTTAATAATTGAAATGACTAGTAGGTAGGCAGCAAAATATAACAGTATAACGAGTAGTAATCATTCAATTGACATAAGCATTTTTATAAACATAACAATCAATCAAAGAAAATATAAGTCACACTTATTACTTTTTCTTTGTATTCCAGGCTGGTCTTAGATGGCTTGTGAATCGAACTTTACACTCTCAAGAAGCTACTAAGGATGTTAGAGGTACCATAATAAGACAAAGGTACCATTCGGAGCATGCTTTCGATGTTTGGTCAAGGGCTGTCGAAGAAACCAACGGATGCTTTCAGCAGGTCCTGTCCATGGACTCTGATAGCAATGATATCCGTTAGTATCTTTAATGAAATACAAGGTGTTCGATGAGAGATTTACAGATGCATAATAAGTTTAAAAACTTGAAAATTAATCTACTAAGGGAAACTCCAGAAATTTGTTCATCAAATAATCTTCCAACTCTCGTATCACACAGCTCTAAAAAATTTAGAATAGTAACGAAGTATCCTACGCTGCTAATTCTCATTTATTTGTTTTTTAGATAAAGGACTTGTTCAAAATGCTAAAATGCAACTTCATTTTCTTGACGAGACTTCAGATCCGTTCCTCCTACAACTGTTGTGGGGAGAGATGGTTTCTACTGTTATTTATAGAAAAAGCAAGGTTAGTTTATTTTTTAATCGACTCTGTATATTTTTTTTAATATATGAGATATCTTATCTTCTCTTTTTCTGTCTATGTCGATGGTGTTATATTGCGTCGATTCACTTTTTCAACAGAATTCATACAACGAAAAACATTAATAAA